CTGTGTATACATATCCTTACAAGTACAATTTTAGCTGTATTATTTGAGTCCCCTTCAAAAATTGCTCTTGAGAAATTGTATGTTTATTGTCGCCCCCCCCAACTGTTAGACGAAATTTACGCCCCTGGTCACATGGTTCTAGGGACTGCCACTTACTAGAGCAAAAAATAATGAACTTTAAAGTTCTTTTGGTGAGGGATTTAGAGCGCAATACCCTAAAATAGCTTACAGCAACCACTGCTTTGAGCAAGCAGAAGAGGAATCACATAATGACAGATTTTAAAGGGGGCTAGATTAAAACCAGTGTGGCTGAAACCCTCCTAAATGGGGTCTAGACTTGCCTATGGACACTGAGGACATAAAGGACGGCACACAATAGAACGGGGAGACTGTGTGACAGAGGTAAGCACACTATCAGTGTATTAGGATTAAGGGAGTACGCTGCCTGGTAAATGCTGAGTGACACAGAGGTTCACTGGATTGTATATTGTATCAGGATTGTAGATCTGTATCAGCGCTTGTTTTCTCTCTCTCACACACACACCCGCTCGCATGCACCATTAGCACATCTCTGTGCCGACAAGGTCTCTATGCAGGTCTAATTGTGAGGAAGTTGTGCGAGAGCTGTGTGAGTTTCTTACCCAAGGGTGCAAGATCTAAGAGCGCTGGTCGTCCTCTCAACCTCTAGCAGAGAGACTCCCTCTCTCTCTCTCACACACATATAGACCCTTTACTGTTGTAGTTAATCAACTTAATTACCAGATGTTAAAGGGGTCATATGATGCTGCTAAAAAGAACATTATTTTGTGTATTTGGTGTAATGAAATGTGTTTATGCGGTTTAAAGTTAAAAAAACACATTATTTTCCACATACTGTACATTATTGTTTCTCCTGTATGCCCCGCCTTCTGAAACGCGTCGATTTTTACAAAACTAATCGGTCTGAAAAGCGAGGTGTGCTCTGATTAGCCAGCTATCCAGTGCGTTGTGATTAGCCGAATACCTCAAGCGTGAGAGATATCGTCCTCTTTTGGAAGACCAAACAAAGTAGTTTCGCTTTCACAACGAATCACACAGCGTCTTCACGACATGGCGGCGGCGACAACAATACTACAGCGAGAATAAACGTTATGCCTTCTTTCTTTGCGTGAACATTTGTGTGGCGTTATGCAAATCTTCCCACACAGTTAGGTAGATATGTGGGGGCGTGTTCGAACGAGCCGTTTTAGGGGGGTGTGGCTGACTCTTAACTTTTATAAAGAATATCTCTTTGGATTTGAGACTTTAGTCTTTGCAACTTTACAGATCTTCTTTATGCACCAAGAGCTTGTAACACTCCAAAGAGAAAGGAAAAAATGAAATTGCATCATATGACCCCTTTAATGCCTCTCACCCCATCTCTACGGCAGCATTTGTCTTTTATCTCTGTGTGTCCATGTAGCTATTCTTCTGTTGAAGTGTGTGGGTGTTTAATTTTAGCACACTGATGGGAGGTGTAAAGTATTGGAACCAATGTGAGTGACAAACTAGATGATTTCCCATAATTGCTTTGGGCACCGCTGCTTTGATGTAGCAACTGTACTGCGGCAAGGTTCTCAGAATGGCTGCTTGTCGGTCTTCAACCATTCCCGTACAATATTTCATGAAGAAATAATCTGATTATCACATAATCCATTGAGCAGTTTCATCTTGCACACTGGATTAGTGTCTTTTTAGGCACAATGAGATTAGTTATTGTGGCGACACACTTCGCTTCATTTAGGAATTTATCTTAGGTGATGTGCAAGGTTCCCGCACAGATCGACTCATCTCGTCTTTTCTCACCTTGTCTCTTCTCTTCCACCGTCTTTTCTTGTCTTGTCACATCTCATTACGTCTCATCTCGTCCTGTCTTCTCTCCTCACATCTTGTCAAAACTCTTCTCTTCTTGCCTCATCTTGTCTCTTGATGACAGAAACAGGAAAACTATTAGAAAAACTAAGTAAATAGAAAATAAATAACAATACAGAATATGACAGAAGAAAAAGACTAACGTATACAAAAAAAAAAGTGTGTGCCTAATTGTAGAATGTGCATTTGTAATGTACTTCAAATCTTTAAAGCATCTTTGAAAAAACAACAACAATTGTACTTGCAGATAATATAATATTAATGAAATAAACCTCACTTAAGTTTACTTATGGAGGGTGCCTTTTCATGAATATGTTTCTTAACACATAACAGGTAAGTGCACTTTAAAGCAACTGTATGTAGTTTTGAATATTTATACTTTGGGCCCCCTACAGTTAAAAGAGTGGAATTCACGGTCATAAATATATCACTGTCCTAATTACAGTGCATAGCTGTACAAGTACATTTTTTGCTGCTGTAAAGCAGCCCGCCCTTTTCTCAGAGTTTCGTACCCGCTACCAAACTTGCATACAGAGTTGCCAAGTCAGAGGTTTTCCCGCGGAATTGGGCTACTGTTATACTGCTGCTGCGGGTTGTTTTTTTTTGAGTCCGCGGGTTGAAGTGAACCCCTAGAGTGTAGTGTTTTTTATTATAATTTTTATTATTAAGGTGTAGTGTTTTTCTATTATTACATTTAAATAAATACATTTTGGAAAAAAGGACTAATTTGTAACTTCATTACAGATGTACATTTACAAATAGATTTAATACATGATACAAGTTTCAATAGAAATGGCATTAAAGTATATTTCAGTTTACCACAAATGTCAGTTCATTCGGTATACACGTTAACCGTGTTTCAAAGACAATATAAGTAATTATGAATTTACATATAAATATGTACTACTTAAGTGGGTCTAAAGATCACCTAATTGCATTCAATATAAATTGAAATCAAGGAAAGCCAACCCTGCTCCTGGAGAGCTACCTTCTGCTTCCTGCAGACTTCAGTTTCAAATGAGTGTCAACGCACCTGCCTGTAATTTTCAAGTGACCCTGAACATCTTGATTAGCGGGTTCAGGAGTGTTTGATTGGTGTTGGAGCTGAACCCTGCAGGACATAGCTCTCCAGGAGCAGGGCTGGCTTCCCTCGATTTAAACTATAATACATTTTCATTTAATTGCAATTATGTGTCTGAAAACATTACATTCAGTTGGCACTTAAGTATTTTCATTTAAAGTATATTATTTCCACAATAGTTACTCGTTTTAAAGTATGTTTAATTGTACATCTTTTCACAAGGATGTACAGGTATAGAACGTACATGAAGCTGAATAAATATTTGATTGAATTGACATATTGTCCTTATATTGCACTGTGTGGCAGACCCATGAGGCAGTTTTAATTGTTCATGAAGTAGATGGCTTGAGGGAAAAAACTTGTGCTTGGATGTTCTAGTGTCCAGTTCTCTGTAGCAACGGTTCAAAGAGGAAGTGGCGTGTGTGTTTGTGTGTGTGGTCTGAAGTGATTTCTCCTGCCCGTTTCTTCAATCTAGAGATGTACAGGTCTTGGAGGGTGGGCAGTGGCGCACCAATAATCTTCTCAGCAGTCCTGACAGTCCATTGCAGTTTCCTTCTGTCCAATTTGGTAGCTGAACCAAACCAGATAGTTATGAATGTACACAGAACAGACTCAAAGACGGCTGAGAACTGTATCAGCAGCTCCTTTCACAGGTTCAATCATAGACTGGCTTGGAAAATCCCAAACTTGTCATATGCTTGCCAGTTTTGTGTGCATCAGATGATCAGAGCACAGACAGTGGGCAGTCCATGGGTCGGCCGTTTGAAGCTGAGACCATTATTGCATTCAGCTCGTTTAAACAGTGCTGAGATCATGATATTTAAGATTTAATTATGTAAACAGCGATAGAAAATATTTACTGCATATATCAAACACTATGAGCTATATGCGGTATTTCAAGCATTGTCCATTGATGAACAACTCTGGCGCTCAGGTTGTTTGTCATTCATTCCTCCACACATTGCTGCTCGCTGACGCCCTGAAAACAAGTGACCGTGAAAAAGCTGGGAAAGTGGATGGGGTTGACATATGTTAAGCCATTTAAATGATTCCTTTAGTCACCCACATGCAGAAGTCCTAATATTACTTTGTTTACAACAAATAAATGTTGGATGTTATGCAGTTTATTATAAATGGTAGATCAGTAACACTTTACATTTGTTTACAGTAGGTTACATGAACTAACAATAAAAAATACTTATTTAGCATTTAATAATCGTAATGTTAATTTACTAATTTACAAATGCAATCAAAAGCATCTATATTAAATAGACTTGAGCTAACATGAATTAACAATGAACAGTTGTTAACCAATATTAATAAATACTGTAACAAATGTAATGCTTATTGTTAGTTGAGTAAGGGATAATGTAAAACCAGCCAGTTGTTATCGCAGAATAAACCCCTGTTATCCACTACAATGTACAAAACAGTCATCCTGGCAAAAAGATGAACACTACAACAGTATTACAGTTCTATTAATACTGATTTTCAATGCAGTCCATAAGTGAGACAAAAGATGGAACCAGTTGTGTTTGCATGAAACAAGAAGGAGCATTACTAATGACGACAGTCATAATCAAGGAATAACAGACCTCAGAATGTTGCGACTGACCAATCAGAATCAAGCATTTAAGAAAGCTCTATAATAATGTCAGTTAAAGGAATAGTTCACCCAAAAGTGAAGATTCTGTTGTCATTTACTTACCCTCCACTTGTTCCAAACCTGTCTGAGTTTCTTTCTTCTATTGGGCACAAAAAGAAGATATTTTGAAGAATGTTGGTAACCCACCACTTGATGGTAGCCGTTAGTTGTTGACTTCCATACTGCATCTACTATTTGGTTACCAACATTCTTCAAAATATCTTTTGTGTTCAGCAGAAGAAAGAAACTCAGACAGGGTTGGAACAATTTGAGAGTAAAGAAGTAAAGAAATTTTATTTTCGGGTGAATTCTTCAATGCATACATGCAACTAACGTTGTAAAGTGTACTGACAGATCTGTATGTTCTGTAAACGATCTGTGCAGGGGTGTCACGGCTGGTGTCCGGGGGCCGGTGGGACTGTCTGACTGCGGGGGATTCGTGCTCCAGCGACGAGGCGTGCAGCCCACGCTTGAGAACGCTGCGGCAGTGTGTCGCAGGCGGCGGAAGCGTGAAGCTGGGACCGGGTGCGCGCAACCACTGTGAGAACGCAGTGACGGTCCTGCTGTCCAGCCCCCTGCACCGATGCCAGTGCAAACGGGGTATGAAGAGAGAAAAAAACTGTCTTAGCATCTACTGGAGCCTCAAGCAGTCCGTGCTGCACGGTGAGCAAATTCATATTCATAATTTTTCTTTGTCACATACGAAGCACTCGCTTGCGCAATGATGCAATTACAAGTTCTAATACCCACACCCACGCAGTCCCCGGAAACCACTTCAATAGATGCTAATTAGACGCTGCGTTTTAATATGCTAACCAGCTTAGAATTATAGAAGCATTACTGCAAACTGAACTTTTACCTGTGACACTCTCATTAATTCACTGATACATACAAAAAAAAAAAAATTACTCCATTACCATAGCCACAAAAACCCTGTTTGTGTGTGCGTTTACAGGGCTGAGCCTGGTGGAGAATTACCCCTATGAGCCTGTCGAGCGGGGCTTTGATTATGTTCGCCTGGCCTCCATCGCTGCAGGTCAGTGATTTGCACAGACACACTATGCCGATTATGTACTATGGTGTTGGAATTGATATTTGGAACTGATCACGATGTGCCAAGCATTAGCAGTGAAGAGTTATTAACAGGGCAGAGCTTAATAGCTTACAACAGCAAAACATGAGCGCTTTGTTTAATGTACTTGGATATAACATAGTTGGGTTCATCTGCACCGTTGGTGATAAACTGCATTTCCTACAAAATGAGGCATGCATCAGGGGCCAGTCAGGAGCAGAACAAGCATTTCGTTGTGGGCCAAAGACTCTCAGACGGACATAACAAAGACTAAACAGTCAGATGATTTATCTCAGAATTTCATTTTCTAATCAAGGCTTTTCGCTCATCACTTTCTCATCTCTCTCCCATCTCATTACGTTCACTCAAATAAGCACTGTACCAGGTTTAGAAACTTATTTTTGGAGGAGCCACAAGACTAAAACTGTCAGTTTGTCAGCCTTAGTTTATGGGGTGCTTAAGGCATGAGCTGAATTTTATGGACCCCGAGGGCAGCACATAATGATCCATTTACTCATCATCTCTCTTGTGTGCACACAGACTCATAGACACACTTGAGTCCAAGCAGACGCACATAAAATAACATTTAAACTCTTGGGGATAGGACAGAGAACGATTTCCTCAAAGTAATGAATGTCGGTCATTCATGCGTGACTTTTAATGATGGCTGCTCTCTACTCTCAAACACTGCGAGCGTTTAACAAGCTGGCTCGGTAGAGACAACAAAGATCAAACAAAAGTGTCAAAATTAGAAAGGGGAACGTAGAGAGAAGGGGGAGAGATACACATAGAAATAATAATAGTAAAAAGACAAAGAAACTGGGAAAAATGTGTTAAATTAATTATAAAATTTCTTATATATTATATTAAATATATACATTATATAATTGATAAATATATTCTTAACATTATAATGACCTTGTAACAGGCTATTCTTTCAGTATTACAGACTCAAATTAAAAGGCGCACTTATCCAAACAGGTACTTTTGTTCTTTTTTTTTTTTCTCTGTGTGTTTGTTCATTCATATGGCATAAGGCTTTCAATGTATTTTACTGGATAAATTACTGTATATTAACCTTGAAAAATACAGATTTTCATTGAAAGATACAGTACATATTTCATTTTAGAAATATATTCATGAGTGTAAGTGTATATGTGTGAAGTCTAAGGCCTGTAATAATAGTTTGATTGGTCCTACCAAACTTGTTAGATGTACTTACATCTAGAATCTCTGTATACAGCAATATAATGAGCACCAGGGTCCAGAATATTGGCTGAGTATTGATCGCAAGCTTGCAAAATCCCTTAATGATGTATGAGAAAGTAATCTCGCTGAAACAGATTTTGAGCAGAATTCCTTGAATATGAAAGAAAGAAAGAAAGAAAGAATAGAAAGACAGCAAAGAAAAATAATGAAATGAAGAGAAACAAGCACGGAGAAGAAGGAACAGAAGAATGAAAGTAAGACGTGGAACACTGAAAAAATTAAGTAAAATTTATTAAATTTTTATTTTGCAAGTTTTTGCACACATTTTTTTTTAAGTAAAATTTAAGTATGGAATTAAGTAGAATCTACTTAACTAAGTTATGTAAAATTAGCAAAGGAAATACGTAAATTTAACGTAGCCAGTAAGAGTTTGATGAGTAATTTCTACTTAATTATTTTAAGTTTACTCTGCAATACTCAAGTACATTTCACTCAGTCATGGTTTGTGAACTTTTCTCAAACAATGTAGCACAGTAAGTAAGCAAGTAGATGGCTTGTTATCCTTTTTAAGATAATGTGTTTACTCAATATAGTTATTAATGAAATGAACACAGAGTCCTTAAGACTTGGTACAAAATACACAGTGACGGTAACAATCAGTGGATAGTGTTTGAGTATGCATGGGTTATTTTGAGTAGAAAATTAACTCCAAATGTCACAAAACAGCAAGTTACTAAACCTAACAACAAAAGCAACCATAAAACAGTGTAAATAGAACTAGAAAACAGTGAATTAATTATTGGGATAATTGATGGGAACAATGGGATCATAACTTTGATATTTACTTAAAGAATCCTTGTAAACATAACAAACAATTCCAAGTAAAATATACTTATAAGTTCAAACTTTAATTTCTACATGCTTAAATTGAGTACTAATATAGAATTTACTCTCTTTTTTAAATTCTTGCCTGAACTAAATTATTTAATGTAGAAATTACACTTTGTTTTTCCGTAGTAGTTACTTCACCACAAAATCATTTTTATCAGTGAAAAGGAGGAGGAAAGAAGAAAGGAAGGAAGAACAAGAAAGGAAAAAAACATTCACAGACAGGAAGGAAACAAGGAAAAAAGGAACGAAGGAAGGACAAGCGAAGGAAGGAAGGAAGGTGGAAGGGAAGCGAAGGAAGGAAGCAAGCAAGCAAGCAAAGAAAGGAAGCAAAGAAGGAAAAAAAGAAAGCAAAGGAAGGAAGGAAAAAACAAAGCATGATCAGAGGGACAGATGGACGGAAATAAATAAGGGGAAAAGAAATTAGTGGAAAAAAGGAATGAAGAAAACCAAAGCAAGCCTTTGGAAGCAAGCAAATGAAGGAAGGAAACAATAGAAAGTAAAGTAAGAAATAAAAGAATGAAGGAAGGAAGGAAAGAGGGAAGAAAACGCGAACAAGCCATAGAAGTAAGGAAGGAAGGGAAGGATGAGGGATGGAAAGATTTAATTAAAAAGGTGAAAAGAAAGAAGGGAAATAAGAAATAAGGGAAGAAAAAAAAGGAACGAAGGAGAAATAAAGAAATGAAGGGGGAAAGAAAGTAAAGAAAGAATAAATTAAGGAAGGAAAGAAAAAGGAAACAGAAGGAGGAAGAAAACAAACTGAAGAAATTAAGCAAAGAACAATGGATGGATTGATGGAAAAGATAAATAGGACATGTTGATATAGAGGTCAAGAAGAAGAAAAAGATGACAGTGAAGAGGGCAGTGGTTAAAAAAGTCCACAGCTCATGGGGGAAGAGAAAGAGAGAGAGAGAGAAAGCGAGCTCTATGGCAGTGAAATGCTGGCAGGCTCTCTGCGGCCCACATTAGTCTGATATAAAAAATGAAGCAGCAACAGCAGCAGCCAGTCTCAGCTGGGACCTGCTCTGTGATAGAGACCAGACTCATTCAACTTTCATTCTCACTCATGCTCTACTCATTAGCAGCACACACAGACCACCCAGTCTCACATCCTCTTAGAGTAGACCAACTCAAACCTTCATTAGGACATGAGAGAAAGAGACGTTCTGTATGAACCTCAACCCTCATTAGAACAATGAGCAAGAGCACACCTCCAAAACACATGCCGCTCTGACAGCTGGACAAGGCCGTTGCGAAAATTCACAGAGTCTGGGACCAAATTTATATCTTCCCTTGGCCTATTGATTAGGCAATATAAAAGACGACATTAGTTATTAAATTGGAAGGCTTTTGTAAGTGATTTAATACACTCTCATGGCGATTCGTAACTATTTTGCATTTTAAACAAATTAGTGGCTAATTAATACAATCTCATTTGTACGTTTTCAAACAATCTGCTAATGCCCCATTGACGGTTAAGTTAAGGAAATGGAATAGAGGGGGAAAAGAAAGAAGAAAAGAAAAACAAGGAAGGAAGCAAAGAAAGACAGGGGAAAAGGAAACGAAGAAAAGAAGCTAAGTAATGAAGCAAAGAAAGAAAGCAAGAAAGAAAGGAAGGGAGGGACAATTTGCTTATGCCCCATTGATGGCTATAGGTTTAGGAAATGGAAAAGAAGGGGAAAATAAATTTGAGAAAGAATAAAGTAAAAAAAGAAAGGAAGCAAGTAAGAAAAAATGAAGGAAGCAAAGAAACAGGAAAACAAAGGAAGAAAGTGAAATAAAAAGAAAGGCAGCAAAGGACTGAGGCAAAGAAAGCCAAGGAAGGAAGCAAAGAAAGAAGCAGTAGTGAACGAAAAGAAGCACAGGAGGAGAGATGGAAGGATAGAAAGTAAAGAAAGGGGAGGAATAGAAGGAAGAAACAAGAAAGTTGGAAATGAAGAAAGAAAGGAAGGCAGCGAAGAAAATTAAGCAAAGGAAAGAATCAAGCAAATAAAGTAAGAAAGCAGGAAAGGATAGAAGGAAACAAAGAAAGGAAGGAAAGAAGCATGGGAGGAAGGAGGGAAGAATGGAAATAAAGAAGAAAAAAGAGATAGAAGAGATAGATCTCGCAAAATAGTTACATTTTCTTATGAGATGGGGTTGGTGCATTGCATTATTTTGGCTTCGGGTACAAAGAATGCCACATTTAATAATTAAATAATGCCACATTTGGCAGTTGTGGTTTGGTATTCTGTGATATCTTGAATACAGGCATCTGTTTCAGCACTGGACAGCGACTGCAGCCACTCCAACAACCTTTTTGTTTGTATTCCAAAGTAGGCAAGTGTAACTAACACGCTAATCTCTTTACACCCTGAAATCACAAGCCTGCTTTTCTCTCTCCTTCCTTTCAGAGTCTGAGGTGGGCATGACAACAGTGAACCGTTGTTTGGATGCTGCTAAGGCTTGTAATGTCGATGAGACGTGTCAGAAACTACGCACGGAGTATGTGTCGGCGTGCATCGCCCCATCAGCGCGAGCCGGGCCCTGCAACAGAGCACGCTGCAGCAAAGCACTGAGGAAGTTCTTTGACCGTGTGCCGCCTGACTACACGCACGAGCTGCTCTTCTGTCCGTGCTCCGACACGGCATGCGCAGAACGACGGCGCCAGACCATTGTGCCTGCGTGCTCGTATGAAGAAAGGGAAAAACCCAATTGCCTGGCACAACTTCGAGTTTGTGAGGCAGACTATGTGTGCAAGTGGGTATTGTGTGAAAACGACTGCTATAAATACAATCAAGCTCTTTTGAAGGGCCTGAAGATTGAAGCTCTGTGCTCTGTAGGGAGCAATATATAAAGGTGCACAAAGTCATTTTGTTCCTTTCTAAAATAAATTAAAATGATTACATGTTAAAATTATTATATGTTTAAAATAATGTAAACTCACATTGAGATTCACTTCAGTCATAACTCACCAGTCAACTTGCCATAACATCCCATAGATGTAAGGGTGCTTCAAAGCTGGTGAAAAAAATCAAGCTTATATTGATAGTAGACTGTACATCATAAGCATAAAAGTATAGGAAGTATTTACTCTTCCTGTTACTTTATCTGTTCATTACGAACAAACAGAGAGACAGATCCATTGAACACATTGAGTCCCACTATGAGTCTGTAGAGCTGCAGTCACTCTGCAAGGATCTCAGTAGAGCAGAGTTTGAGTGGTCATGTTTGAGCCTCCCACTTTTCACATCACAAACCCAAAGGCCTTCATCGGTCTCTGCCATCGATCAACCATCACGCTTACACACGGCAAGCAAACAGTCTGCTGACACAACACATTACACAAGAGGAGATCACTTACGGCCACAACCACAGCCAGTTAGCATAAGAAATCAGCAGGGAATGTGGGTAATTCCTCTGAGACTGACCTGGTTACATGATTGATTGGTCACCAGAGGACTGGCAGAATGTGTCCTGCATGTAAATGGTCGCTGTCGGCGGAGTTTCCGTCTGCTGAGTATCTGGCAGTTCTCCAGAATTCTGAAATGCAGTCATGTCTCTGATTAAAATGAGAGCAAAACGAATGGATCAGGACTGTGCAGAGTATATGTAGGGGGGGATTGAAAAAAGAGAAAATGACTGAGAATGGAGTGTGTTGGTGTAAAGCTTTCTAAACAGAACAGAAGAAGACAAAACAGAACAGAGTATGTAGCCCCTTCTACACATATAATGCAAGGTAGCATAGCGGAAAGTGTTTGTGGAAATGCATGTTTCTGAGGGTTTGCTGACTGGCTGGATGATGGATGTGCTGTTGTGGTTCCCTCAGGTCTCGCTGGGCTCAGTTCCAGCACGACTGCCAACCCTCCGAGCTTACTGCCAGCGGCTGCCAGCAAGAAAATTACGGAGCCTGCCTTGTTGCGTACACCGGCCTGATAGGTGAGAACTCTGGGCAACGTAGTCCACCCTGGCTTATCACATACACCAGTCAGGTAGATTAGAATTATGGCCATTACAATCTTATCGGGCTTGGCATTACAATCTTATCCACCGACAGGTAGAATTCTAAAAAGAGAAGACCACCGTGACACAAGCTTTTAGGGGTTTATATTAGACTTTATCAACAATGCATGTGATGCATATACTACAATTACAATCCTCATTACAAACATGTATGACTTCTGCAGAACACAAAAGAAGATATTTTCAAGAATGCTTCAGTTGTTTTTGTCCATACGATGACAGTCAGTGGGGTCTAAATTATCTAAGCTTTTAAGTCAGGGGTGTCCATTTCTGCTCCTGGAAGGCCAATGTCTTGCAGAGTTTAGCTCCAATCGGCTCCAACACACCTGTCTCATAGTGAAATACAGCATTTCACTTCACTTTTTTTATGTCCTTCCCTTGCTAACTTCCCTCCATCTTGCTGACTCGGATGGATGTCATTGTTTATATTTCTCAAGTGCCCACTACTGGCGGAACCCTTGCAATGGGTTAAACTGGAATGTCCTTGGAAGCAAGTATTTTACGATTAAATCTCAAAATAATTCATATACAGTATATCATACATTAGAGTTGTGAGGGGTGGGGATAAATTAAACACCATCTGCTGTGACATCACAATCATGTTGCTTTGTGGTATATTGAGCTGCCTGAAGGATACATATGAGTTGACTCACTCCGTCTATCTAAGGGGTCAAGGGTCTGTCCATATAAACTTCCTCCTCCACTTGACAAAGTAGAAGTAGAAATTTTTCAAAAAGCGAAATGGAACACACCCCGTTTCTAGTAGAGGTCCAGAATATCTTGATTAGCTGGTTCAGGTGTGTTTATTTAGGTTTGGATCTAAACTTTGCAGGACGCTGGCCCTTCAGGAGCAGGTTTGGACACCACTGCTTTAAGCTGTTATTTGGTTCTGCGGCTCTGTACGAACCCAAGTACTTTTGGGTCTGATCTCTGCAGTAAATTTGTGTCATTAACTTATGTACCACCATAACTACTAGCGGCAGCTGATTATCACTATAAACAAGCAATGATTCTGGGTGAGAAGATTCCAGCTTCTACTAAAACAAAAGTTTTAGTACTTCACAGCATTTGTCTGTGGAGGTATTGCAAAAGATGCAGTATAAACAATGTGGGCTGCTTTCCGAAGGCAATTTATTTGGAGACAAGCAGCTATGAGACACATTTCACTATAATAAATGTGACCAGGAACGTGCAGTGATGCAAATTTTATGTCATCCGTTAGAGGCTCACTTTTGTTGTTAGTACCGGAAACAAACTGAACTCAGATTACAAATGGACTCGGCCAAAAACGTTAGAGTGACAGCACCCTGAAAGTCTTCCCCTGCACTGTAGCTTTCGAATCTTTTTCGCATATTATTCAATAAGGTGTGTAAGGACGTGGGGGTAGACGCTTCATGATTGACGTCAATAATGACAAATGTTTGATGGAATTGTGAATGAGATCTGCTGTTAAAGAGAACTACAGAAGAGTTTATGACATTAACAAATGTACAAGTCAGAGACGGCAAGACAGAGATAGCGAAGACAAAGAGAGACCAAGCACTCTGCCCTGACTGTTAGTCAGTACGGCAGTATTTTCCAAGAGCGGTTGTGAAGATGTTGCGCTTTTGTGTTCTGGGACAAAAGAAATCAATGTGTTTAAACGGGTCCCTATCAGACTATAGAGTTCTAGAGTGCAGCACCTCCACTTTCCCCGCTTTCAGCTGACGCCTTCAACACTCATTCACTCACACAGTGGAAAAGCACTGTCATTTTCCTCCCCTGCTGAACAAAGACAGAGCTCTAAGAGCTACGGACCTATATCCACTGCAATCAATGTTCCAGCCCACTTATGTAACCCACACACAAGATAAAGATTGACAGAGCTTTTCATATCCGTTTTAGCCGAGGGCTTATAGAATACCACAATGTGATTGCGTTAAAATGCAACAAACATTTTAAATTCAAAAAGGTGAAAGTGTCTTTGTGCTGATGGAAGGTGGAAGAGTGTTGGTCACAAGTAGCGAGAAAATATTTCCCATAATGTAGGACTCAGATATGACAGATGGATGCTGCATTTTGGGATACCGGTAGACTTAAACTGCATTTGGCTTTCTGTTTTGCAACTGATGTTCTGTTCCGTGTTATTTCTGTCTCACTCTCTCTTTCTCTCATTCTCACACCCTGTAGGTAGCATTATCACTCCAAACTACCTAGATAACTCTACATCCAATGTAGGAGCATGGTGCTCTTGTGCGGCTAGTGGGAATTTCCGAGATCAGTGCAACCACTTCCTTGGCCATTTCCATGACAACAATTGCTTGAGTGAGTAAAAACCTCTCCTCTGTCCTATATCACAAATAAACATTACGATCATTGCTGGAGATTCCCTTTTGTCCTTGGAGGGGGAAATGAGAGGGAGGCACAGAAACAACATGCAGTGGCATATAGCCTGTTTCATCACTTCCTGGCAAAAGTAGCTTGTGAAGTAGCATTTCCACACATCCACTACCTTGGCATTGTCCTTTGACCTGGATGTTCTTTGACCCATGACACACACTAACAACAACTGTAAAAACAATACTGGGCCTGTCCCAAAACCTACACTTACAGTATGAAGACTGTCCCAGGTCTGACATAGAAAACTGTTCTGGGTTCCCCAAAGAACCTTTCAATGAAAGGTTTTAAAAGACTTTTATTTCTTAGTGCAGAAATTGTTAATAATCTGAAGAAAATTTTTTCCTAGTAGTAAAAAATAAAAGAAAGAAAAAGAGCATTTTGTCTAATTGAAAGGTTCCATTGATGTTAAAGGTTCTTATGAAACCAGAGATGCCAATGAAGAACCTTTATTTTTAAGAGTGTCGTGCATTTCCCCCACACTGGTAGTTTCAGTTTACATTTTAAATAAATGTTTAGGCTTGGTGTTTATAATAAATGCTTATAATGTATGCCGCTATAATATATGTTTGTTTTATGTGTGACTTATAGTCGGGTGCAACTTATTTTCTGAAAAATATGGTATGTGTTTTTTGTAAACCTTTTGCAACTGCTTTTAAGCACTTAATTAGAAACACCACAATCACTAAATTGTGTCATCTGTTAGACTAGAGAACAGATCTTTCAAAGTTTATTTAATGTGCAAAGTATTGAAAATCAAAATGTTTAAAAGCGTTGCAAAACTTCACTTGAATTTTTACATAACTATAAGTGTGTCTCATCGGGTATTCAGAAGTTCTACACACACTTGCGCCTTCACGTCCACTTGAACACTTGGGCCAAATGCAGTAAATATGGCCTCATGGGAAAGCAAAGGGTCCATTGTCTCCTTGATTTTGAATCCCAGCAGAAGCAGGACGTCATCTGGGTTTCGTACACCTACTGTATCATCAATACAGCCAATTCACCTTTTACATGTGTGGAGAAGGGTGCATATATGGATGCAGGGACTGTTCCACACTCATATACTCCAGCTGATAGAAAATAGACCCAGGTGATGCAACACAAGAGTCAGCAGAGAGACGTATCTGCATCCCTGTTCTTCACAGTCAGCACTATTATTGTGCATTCAGCAGCGCTGAGAGAAAACTCTCTTGATGTAACGTTATGAAGTTTCAATGCCTGTCGGTAATGAGGCATTAACAGTCATCAGGAGCACAGGATATCTTCAGCGGTGTGCTCTGCTCATGCCCCGCTGCATCTCTGAGCCACTAATAACAAACAAACCATGTAAACACATCCGTGTCACAGGTGGGGCGGTGCTGCATTTGACCGCTGAGATCTTGGAGATTAGCTTTAGCTCTGATCCAGAAGCGCTTCAGTGTGATCTTGCTCCTCAAGGGTATTTCCGGCATTTACAAAACTGCAGCGTCCAGTTTCCACCATCCCTCTCTATTCTATCCGAGGGTCTTGGGGTAGTCCGGAGTGCTGGGTCGGTGTGTATGTGTGCTGATTCAAGCCTAAGCGCAGCCTCTGGTGTCTTGGTAATTGAGCGTAATTTGGCTCCCTGCAGTAAAACTAATGGAGCGGAGACAGCCGGAGAGTAGCAAACAGGACAGAAGTAGCACAGGATGGAGGGAAACAGCTGAAAGAGCTTTTTGAAAGTGAGTCCATTGAGGCTAGTCCTCACCTCAGCTGTTACTGAACTAGTTTTGCTGGCTACGCCAGCCCCCAAACCATCAGCGTACCACTGGGACAACCATGAAATACTGGACAAGTATTACAAGAATTTCTTCATTCAGTCGGACTGCGGAAAAAAAAAAAAGAGCTAAAGTCAGTGGGCCAACAGCTAGCAGAACTGGAATTAGATGGAAGTGATTCAGTGATTCACTAATGTAGTAAACACATGAAGTTTATGTTTCGTAAGAGTGTTCTCAATGCGGTCTAGAATGAGTGATGAGTGTTTTAATGAGAAATGTGCAGGAAGAGTGACGGCTCATTTCCTGTCTCTGGGTGGTGAGTAAGCAGTAACTGCTAAGTGTGTGTGTAAAATGCTAATAACATAATGTTTATTCATTTATGAATTGATTCAAGTGAAAGTAACTAAAACATTCATAGTACCATAGTGACAAAAACATTAGGAAGAGTTTTGTGCTCATGTTTGCGTATACTTAAATTCTGAAGCAGTCAGCAGTATTTAATCATGTTTACTGCGTAAATTAACAGTTTCTCAAGGAATTTTTCCTTTCTTAAAGTCCAACGACAGATACAAAATGTTTAACAATTTTACATTTAATTTCAGCACATGTAAGAAAAACATCTCTGTTAAGAACGTCTCTGTTAGCCCTCGCTGCTAGATGCTGTAACTACAACAGCTGGACACAAAAATCTCCATTAACAGTCATTCAAAATTATCCATATGTTATAATAATTAATAAATTGTAGTTAAAAAAGGAATAAAAAACAATGAATACTCTAATAATATTTTAATAAAATTAGAAGAAAAACAAAGTTCATTAAACAGTATAAACTATTTGCATTACAAACCAGTGTCTTCATGATTAGGATAATAAATAATATAATAACAAATACCAGTTTGCAATATCAAGCAGTGTAACGGACTGTTTAAGTACAGCTAAAATAACTGGAAGCTGCTGACACCTGAAGCTTTGCGCATTTATGTTACAAATGGCTGCACCCAGCCTTGCGTTAAAATTAAGGTAGATAGCACTTTTTTATAGTGAAAGGCACTTATTTTTTTACTATGTTTTTACCCTGAGCCACAGCTCAGGATAGTCACTAGTGAAGGGATTTATGAATACATCAGCCAGTCAATGCTGTCATGAAATAATTTTTCAGAGAAATTGGTCACATGGCTCAAAAAACATTCTGTCCAAATCTGAGCATCCACGGACAAAGACATCCTGAGTGAGCGACGGGAGGCGGAGCTTATCAAAGGGTAAGTTGCTTCTAAAGTCTTGCGGGGGTCAGAGAGGAATCACCACTTCTACTCCCCACTGTTAGCTGCTGCCATTTACACCTCGATTACTTAGAAGTCCACTATTTCACTCTGTCTTTCATCCATGAAAGAGAGTGTGAGACAAACAGAGAGTATACTGGATTCAAACGTTCCAAATCACAGATGAAATATCTTTATAATCATTGTCTTCGCTTCCCCGTTTCTCCCCGTCTCCCTCTCTTATCATAACATCCACACATATCCTTTCAGCTGTGATAGTGAATGAATGACACTGCGTCTCTACATAGACCACACACTCGTTGTTTGAAATTGATCATTGCATTTACTAACATATGTGACTCTCAGATCGTCCTGTATGTACAAAATTAGACAAGAATGAAATGGAGGTATAATAAATATCAAGATTTTATATCGCATCTTTCAGTTCCAGTCCTTTAAATGCCATTCCAAGAGTGCTAGCATTGTTGTGCTAGATGTCTAGCAATAGTTGTCAACTCTGGATCTGTTTCACATACAGTATCAACCAAACCTCATTCTCATAATTGAATTGTATACTTTAATGAATTCACTGTGGATATAAAATGCAGCTGTCATGAATGGTGTATGAACAGGGATCTATTTAGCATGTATTCTGCTCCTGTGTGAATGTAGCCACTATATTGGTTTGTTTCCCTGCAGTCATTCAGCAACGCTACTAGTGGGCAGCTTCAGTTAGTATCAATGCATGGTGTTTTGCTAAACATTCAGAGACTAATCAACTTCACACCATTCACACTCCTCCATATTACTCCACTGCTAACACTCCCATGATTATGATGTGTTAGGACTGTTATGATATAAATGTCAGATAATGAGGGCTTTAGGTGGGCTGAGGTGAAGACTAACTGACAGAAATTATATTCCTTTCAGTAAACTTAACGCTTTTCTATAAACCTGCCCTGCCTTTCAAAATACATGAAGAATGTAGTTATACAGTCTTGTATGTACAGAGCAGCGATACGTGCTGAAAGTAAATTCATCTTCTTTCAATTGATGTTCAAGAAGTTTTCAGGTTAAAGGCCTGTAGGACATCATTTATCAGACATGGACAAAAAAATTTTTTTTTAATTAATTTGCATCAAGGTTTCCGCACAGTCATACATTTTTCAATATTATTGGCTTTGTTTAATTTTTGTATTGTCAATTTTGTACTGCTTCACTGGAGACAGCGTTGTTATTGTTAACTAAAACTAAAATATTAAATTTGTTTTGTTAAAGCTGAAATTAAAATGCAAACATTAGATGAAAATAATTTAAATGAAAATTAGAAATGTTGTCATGGCTTCTGATCTAAGAACGAAAATTAAAGATAAGAAAGAAAATGGAAGACATGGGCAAAGAAATAAGGACGAATGCCAAGCTGTTAAGAAATACAAGTGTTTTTTTATTTTTCTGGAGGGCAGGATTAGCCGATTGGTAATATAGGGATGTATATTCTACTATAGAAACAAACTATATTTAGAGCATGAATCAGATGATGGAGTTTATGATCCTGAGTGCTGTTCTGTCAACATTTAAGCTGGATAACTTCTATATACTGTAAGCCAGTCCTCTCTGGTTCCCCCGAGTGTGTTTTGTTGTTGTTATTGTAAAAAAAAAACATGTTGACGAAATCAACTAAACCTGTATTTATATTCAGGTACACATTCTTTTCTCTTTCATTACATGTCACATAACCTACACTATTGGGATCAGTATGATTATTTTCTAAAATAAATATTATTTTTCCCGCAAAGTGCAAGTAAAGACATTTTTAATGTTACAAAAGATTTCGGTTTCATATAAATTATATTCTTTTGAACTTTCTATTCATCGAAGAATCCTGAAACAAATCTGAAAAATATTTTTAAATGAAAATTAGAAATGTTGTCATGGCTTCTGATCTAAAATAAGATTAAAGGGATAATGTTAGTTCATTCAAAAATGAAAATGCTCTCATTAATTACTCACCCTCGGTTTCGTTCCGAACCCGTAAGTCTTGAGTAATTAATGACAGAATTTTCATTTTTGGGTGAATTATTACTTTAAGTTGAAGTACTAAAATTACTAAAACTGGAAAAAAAGGCTAAATAGAAATGTTAAAAAATATATAATAAAAAGGACAAAGGCACGTAAAATTACAAAAACTATAATAAACTCAAAATATAAAAATAAAGCTAATTCAAAATATTAAGAAATAATATAATAGTATATAAATAATGCTAAAATGACACTGAACAGAGATGCTGCTCATGGTAGAGAGTTTTTTTTCCCGCAAAGTGCAAGTAAAGACATTTTTAATGTTACAAAAGATTTCAGTTTCATATAAATTATATTCTTTTGAACTTTCTATTCATCGAAGAATCCTGAAACAAATCTGAAAAATATCAGTTTCCACAAAAATGTGTGGAATAAAAATCAGCATATTAGAATGATTTCTGAAGGATCATGTGACACTGAAGACTGGAGTAATGATGCTGAAAATTCAGCGTTGCCTTCATAGGAATAAATCACATTTTAAAATATATAGATATCAGTTATTTTAAATAGTAATGATATTTCACATATCTCACATACTAATGTTTTTTAATCTATTAAATGCAGCCTTGGTGAGACTTTTATCAAAAGACATGGGAAGCATCTTTACCTTCCTTTTAAAAGTTGAGAAGTCTGTTCATGTATTTGTAACTATACACACTTTTGTGGCTGCTTGTTTTATCATTTATGCTTCAGAACCCAGCCACCACTGATCCATTAGAGATGCATCCATCTAGTGCTGTATCTGTCTGTGATGCGATACCTGTAAAAGATAGAACCAACCACAGAAAGGAAATGATGAGATGATAAAACGGTAAAATACGAAATAAAGTGAAGAAGGCAGCATATCATGTATCTAAAGCTCTCACCTGCTTTTTTTGTTCTGTAGATGAATGAGAGAGACAGACTGTGGGGGGATTCCACGCTCCCGTCCCCTGATCCCTATGACGCCAGTCCTGCAGCAGCCCACCTGGCCATGGTAATGTGGCTCCTCCCCTTCATGCTGCTGGCTCTCCAACTTTAAAATCAAGCAACCAATCAAAGCACCACAGAACTGGGACAGCGTGCGTGTGTTCATGGTTTTCGACTTGTCGCATCACAATAACTCATTCGGAGAGGACGCAAGAACTACCAAAATCTCTAAATGTATGAAACCCTGCTCCATTCCTCAAAGCAACATAGTGATTCATTGTCTGGGGGTTCACAATGACTGAATTCAAGGGTTTAAATAATTGTGTCTCTCTCTCTTAATTTGAACTGAAGATGGTGCCCATGTAAAATAAAACCCCCTCTCTTCAAAGCGAGCGCCTGAAAGGTAGTCAACGGGTGGCTGAGTCATGCCTACGCTACAAATTTCACACCAAAAAAAAAAACCAATAACATAAATTTCTACCTGTTCATCATCCATAATTTAATATCTATTTTTACCCAGCTCTTCCGAATGGACTGTGTTGGTATGTGTGCTGTATATTCACCCAGATAGAAGTGTGTTTTGTCATGTTTGCTTGAAGAAGCACATGAACAAGTGGTAAGAGAAAGGAAACTGAGCTCTTTCGTGAGCTTCAGTGGGTTACAGAGACTGCCTTTATTTTTGTAATGTGGCTGTATTGTTTAAATGTACATCCCACAGGCTGTTTCTCCCAGCAGTCTTGGAGTGGAGTGCACGTTTGCTAAGAAAATGGCAGGGATATGAAGAGCAGAAGAGTTAAATATCTTGATGAATGCCATGATCACTGAGCAGTTCTTGTATACTTCACCTGTGAATATGGGTGTCTGAAATACTGCATCAAACTGCTTATCTCAAATGGAAAAAGAAGCACAAACCCTGTTAAACAAAACACTTCCTGTTTATGTGAATTCAAGCAGCTTTATCCCATCTCCTTACTCACTGTTTGTCTCAGCCAATCAAAACAAGCACAACGAGGGTCCATTGATTCTCTCCAGTGACTGACGGCAGTTTTCTGCGTCCCCATCCTATGAGCACTCGCCATCTGCAGTTGTGTTGCTTTTTCATTCTTAATTGTCCTGTGATGACAAACAAGGTGAGTGAAAAGTAAATGCGTTGACCCCAACAACCTCTAGAGACTACTGACCAATCAGCGACCTGCATCACAAAACGGGGCAAGGCATTTCTCTCAAATGGGTGGAAATTGTGGATTTTACTTGTTATTTCCTGAAAAATAAACCTGCCAGATACGGATGTACAGAATAATGCTTGTGTGTCCAAATATGTACATAAAGTGAAGATCATATGTTATAATCCAGCAAAAATCTGCATTGATTTTTGGGGAAAAACCTGAGCAATTTATTTTAATATGGTAAAATATGCTAAAATGATATTTGAAAATAGTTATATGGAAAATAGCTGTGAGAAGATTCTCCAATATTTATATGCATTTTTGTTTGCCCCACAGAAGAAAGTCATACATGTTTGATTTGGGATAAATACTGGGATATTGGAATATTTATTTCTTAAAAATAGCTAAAAGCTTTACCAATTGTTACCAAATTAGCCAACAGTGGCAATAGGTAATAGAGGGGCTTCATGAATGACTTCTGTTGCAATTCTGCAGGAATCTTCAAGTTCTGGGGGTGCAGATTGTGTGTGGGCCTGCCGATCAGTTCAAGCTGAGAGGGTAATGAGTAACTGAGGGAGTGAACTAACCCTCATTTATCTGGAGCACAGTCGTTGCATCTTCACCTATGCGCATAGTCTGGGCCAGCACACACATCTACACTGCCCTTCAGACTGAACCCTCAACAAAATAAAACACCCACATGTAACAGTGTTGTGATACTGCCGCAAGACATACTCAAAGGAAATCTGAAGGATATCTTGACTCGGGAGGAGGACAACATGGACGTGGACACCAAGGCACTCGCTGTTAACTAAGCTGAAAAATTTTTTTTTTTTTCTTCTGTCATATTTATGAGTTACTTTTTTCTGTTGAGAATATTGCAGCTTTACACTTACACATTCATTAAGCTCCCCCAAAAATGCTGGTCGTCCATGTAAGACAAATGCACGAAAAGACAGGATAATGCGGAGACTCTCAATGGGGAATCGGTTCTACACTGCAGCTGGAATTGCTTGCCAGTTCAGCGATGAACGGGATAAGGATCTGTCTTGGCACGTTTAAAAGAAGTCGGACTGAAAGCACACTCTGCAGTGACCAAGCCTCTCATCAGCAAAAAGAATCAAAAGGCTAGGCTCACTTTTGCTGAGGAGCATGTTGTGTGGAGGGAGGAGAAAATTGATGTGACGTGTAGCAAAGATTAGTTTCCCATACTCGGAATTTGTGCCCTGCATTTAACCCATCCAAGTGCACACATACCTGGAGCAGGGGTTCAGTGCCTTGCTCAAGGGTCTCACCTCAGTCGTGGTATTGAGGATAGAAGAGAGCACTGGTCATTCACTTCCCCCACCTACAATCCCTGCTAGTACCGAGACTTGAACCTGCGACCTTTAGGTTACAAGTCCGACTCTCTAACCATTAGGCCACGACTGCCTGGTCCAAAGTTTACTTTAGTGATGAAAGCGAGTTTAATTTATTTGGGTCAGATGCGAAACATTATGTTCTGCATCAAACTGGGGAAAGACTGAACCTCGAGTGCATAAAGAAGTCAGTGAAAGGCGGAGGAGGAAGTGTCATTTTTTGGGGGATGTTTTGTGCAGCAGGAGTTGGGCCTCTTATACAGCTACATGACAGGTGAATGCAACTGTTTATCAGAATCTCCTTCAGCAACATGTGGTACCTTCCCTGCAAGCATCTCCCAATCCGCCTGCAATTTCATGCAAGACAGTGCCCCCATCACAGTGCAAAATGGGTAAAGCAGTTCCTTGAAACTAAAAATGAATAATGAAATGGCCGGCCCAGAGTCCTGATATAAACCCAACTGAAATCTCTGGAAAATACTTGGCAACAACGTTATGGTTAAGAAACCCACTACAGTTACCAAACTATTGAAGAGAGTGGAAGAAGAGTGGGCCAAGATCACACCAGCAGTGTGAGAAACGATGTCCTGCAGCCGCAGATGTGCTGAAGTCATTCAAAGAAGGGGCCTCTACACTTCCTACTAATTTCTGACAGCTGTAACCCTCCAAAATTGTACTATTCTCTAAATTTGATCACTGTGGTTTTCCACAAAATAAAGGTTTTTGTTGAAATGTCTTGGTTATTTTGCCAAACATGTTAGTATAACAGTGGCATAGCCACAGCTAATATTCCTTCAAATACTGAGTGATGAAGATAAACAATATTTCAGAAAAAAATCAAGTATTTATAGATTGTTCTCTAATTTTGATCTCCACTGTGTGTGTGTGTGTATATATATATATATACACACACACACACCAAAATTCTTCAAAACATATTTTGTGCTCAACAGAAACTTGTACAGGTTTGTAACAACTTCAGGTTGAGTAAATGATAACTAGAATCTCTCTAAGCTTCAGAACTGTTAAACTGTCAAACTAATTTTTTTTAAAAGAACTTTGCTTAAAGAGTTGAACGGCTGAGTTTGATGAATGCAGGCATCACTACAATTTGTGTAAAAATTGAGTAAATGGAATGAGATGATTTCCATGATGATGTAGTCACGGCATGAGTCCAAACAATGACTTCCTGGGTCCCATAATTTTAAGAAATGTTCCTTTTTTTTTCTGGAAATGGAAAAATCATGCAGTAGCAATTAAACTTGAAACATTTTCACTACAATGAAATATTAATTCAACAGAAATTTGTCAAAATTACGGCGCATGATTTTAATCATTGCATACAGTTGAGAAGGTCAAGACCTCTGAGACGCCACAGGCCAAAATTACCATTTTAAAGCTGCAGTCCGTAACGTTTTTTGGTTAAAAATGATCCGAAATCAATATTTGAGCAAGTACATAACCAGCCAGTGTTCAAAACTATCGCCTTACTTTAGCCCGATTCACAAGGTTAGCTTATAATAATGTTTTCTAATTTGAGTGGTACGGGTAGGTTTTCTCGGGAAATTCGAGCATGCCACTGCGTCATTACATCACGTCTGTAAACATAAAGAAGTTGTCCCGGCTACTAGGCTATCGCATGTGAGGATCCTGCAGGTGGCGGATCGTTTATAGCCTTTTCTCACAGCAGCTAGAATAATTAAATACCATTTTGATGGCGGATTGTAATCCAGAAAGGATTATGCGTTTAGGAAACACATGTGAAGGAAATTAAATTATATTCCAGTTTTAAATGTGCTTCTGATTACAGATAGCCTGGGATTACAAAGATTTGTATTTTAAAGAAAACCAGTTCGAAGGGAGCATAATTTGCTTTTGGGTTAAAATAATTTCTTTAATATGAAATTCGAAGAGTATGACAATTAGATTAGACTGTGCAGAAATTGAAATCTACACACTCTACTCAGTCACCAATGCTGATGTTGTTAACATGAATCATTTGAGAATAAAGTATAACAACAATAATAATTTGAACGGTTTGATGTGATATGAGCTAACCGATCTTTAGATTTAATCACCATTGGTAGCGAGATTTATGGTAATGCTTTTTTCCTCAGTTGGTCAGAACAAACGTGGCAGACTTGTTACTTACTTGTTCAGATGGCAATATACGGTGAAAATTCTTATTTGGGTCATATTCCAAGACGTAGGCAAGAGTCTGTGATTGCGAAGTACAGTAAATATCCACACCGGTGCGGTGACTGACTGCCACACACTAGTCTGTGATTGCGAAGTACAGTAAATATCCACACCGGTGCAGTGACTGACTGCCACACATACTCCTCAAAACATTAGATTCATCCGTGCTGGAGCCGTGCCGGCGCACAACCCACGCAAGCTAGATAATTCAGCACACAGCTGCAATTCCAGGTTTTCAAACAGAGATGGCAACAAAGAGGCAAATCTTACGGACTGCAGCTTTAAGTAGGGGATTTGTGAAAACAATATTCACCCTCTCTGTTTCTGGATTCCTGCCAATTTGCTTGATAAAATGTAAATATACAGCTAATAGTGAGAATTTCCATTCAATTATGAAGCTGAAAGTATCTAATATATCTGAGTGGGGAGACTCTGACAGCTCCCTCATAATCCCATTTGGAAAAGCTCTGAAGGGGCACTGGATAAACGCTCATGCCGAGCCGAGGAAGTTGTCATGATACTTGTTTATCCTCATCCGCCTGCTGATAATAAGGAGATAACAAATGCATTTCATCTGTCCTGTTGTGAGAGACAAGCTTAATTGCTTACAACAGCACACTATGCAATGAAGATAAAACAATGTACATTAGATGCCGTACTGTACCATAAGTGTGCCGTTTCCTCTTGGGCTACATAAATTACTCAGTAAAAAAAAAAAAAAAAAAAACCCTCCAAAGGCAGCTTGTTATCTCATCAAATAGACTAAGGGTGATTAGCTAACAAACACTGAAATTTCACTCAACATTAGAACAATTGATTTACAGGCAGTCATCTTCATTTTACCGTTTAATTATAGACAAAATGTTCTATGACATTCTTTATGTACACATATAATTACAAGGTCAGTTTAAATTTGCAGGTCTTATTTTTTTTTTCTTAAAGTAGGCTGCTAGTTTAGAGTTTGTTCATGACATTCGCCATTTTACATTCAAAAGAAGCTGCAATGCAGTCATATTTCAAAAGCCTGGGATACTCCACCCGCCAAGTGTAGTAAGTCATTTAACAGAGACGGCATTCACATTACTGTCCATCACTATGTACAAAAAACTTGAATGCACTCGCTGCTACATTATACATATTAACAAACTACAGACTCCGTATCTACAGTATCACTGTATATAGATGGTGCGGTCGGTGTGTGAGGAGTACTGTTTGAGGCTTACAGAGAAAAGCAATGTGAGAATTAGCTTCCATCTGAAGGAAGAGAGACCAGCTCCTTTCATTAGACCACTTTGTGTGTACGTGTGAGTGCGTTTTTCCCTTTTGGGCCCCAACAGATCATGAGAAAAAAATCATAAATGGTCTCTCTACGACATTCAGTCTGTGACCAGCTTACGTTCACACTTGATGGGTGTCACAGGACATGAATTTTCCATTGAGATCACAGACAGATTAATAACACAATGTTTGGGCTCTCAATAGTAGATGATTTGTTCTGGTCTAGCGACCTGTGTCCCTTTATTCATGGCACTCTAAGAACCGGCAAGCAGGTCATCTGTGCTGTCTGGATACAGCCGTGCGCCCACCCACTAACGCACGCCAGGATAATGAAAGATGTAATGACTGTGCTGCTACACACACTTACACCGGTTTAGATTTCATAATGTCACATTTGCTCACTCCATCTCTGACCTTTCCTTTGCACTAGGCAATCCACTCCATATCCTGGAGAATACCCCCGGTCTCCGACGCAGGTCCAGGTTTGTGCATTTGTGTATGCAAATAATCCTTCGCCAGCCCAAAATGACATGTGACATTTTGAGAAACCCAAACAAGGTACTTGTTTGCTCTAATTCCACCCTGCTGCCTGCCTGCAGTTGCCTTTTATTTCTTCCTTCCTTGCAATGTGCCTGAAAAATGGGCTGAGATTTCAGATAAGAGTGAAGTAGTAAATGATAAAAGCAGAAGCAGCATAATCATTATGGCAAACATAAACACTCATGTCTCCGATCACTACATGAAGGTGAAAGGAGGTAATTCAAGAGAGAATGGAAGGATGTGAAAAAGATGAAAAGCTTGGGAGAGACGTCACAGATGACCTGTAAAGTCAAACGCTTGTAAACATACCAGCTCGCTGTGTCTTATTCCTACACATCAAATCAGAAACATGATTAATTATTTAGAAATAAAAGCAATTTGTGGCCTCTAAAAGAAGTCCTGTACTGTATGTGCGTATGTGTATTTGTGTTATAGCCATGCAGCCAAAGAAGTCTCCAGAAGGAAGGTTTTGTGTGTGTTGCCTTCAACAGAGATGCAGCAATGCAAGGATACTTCTTCCTCCTGATTGTAAAAATGGAATAAAATAACTGAAATAAGTTAAATATCATAAAGTGGCCCAGGATAAGTCCTATCAGTCAGGGTCACATCAGAGTTCATTTCCTGTAGTGTTCTCTCAGCTTGGTCCAGGAGAGATTCAGTTTCTCCAATCAGAGTCTGCCCCCCTGCTTCTTCTGTGAATGTGACCCAGCCATAAGCGTGTGTTCCTGTGACTCAGACCTGGCAGGGGTCCGAGGTCAGAGGACGAGGGGTAAATGTCAGATGCAGGTGGCGGGCTGTGCTAATGGCTGCTGCTTGCGGCTACGCAACCCTCCCGACTTCTCCTTATATCCCAGACACATCTGTTGAGAGACGTCCACTAATGCACTCGCTACTGCCAGACCTGAGAAGAGAGGAAGACAAAGAGGTGTTTCTGACCGTTAGTATAATGGCTTTGGTGGCAGAGTGTAAAAATGTTCAGCACTCAGTGTGGGGGCCAAATGCATTGGCTCGCCGACCCACCTGACTGTCCTGGAGGGGGAATACCTCCGGGGCCTCTGGGTAATCTAACAAAGATGGAGAGCACAGCTGCCTTATTCCCAAAACAGGGCTCCAAAGCTATGGGCTTAGGCACAGACTGTGAGAGAAAAGAGAAACGGTTACAAAAAATATACAGCGGGGTTCAGAGACCACTAGAGAAAATGATCAGCCTAGCAAAATGAGTGAATTTTAATTGAAGATGTTACACTACCATTCAAAAGTTTGGGGTCGGTAAGATTTTGATGTTTTTAAAGTCTCTTATGCTCAATTACAGTAATATTGTGAAATATTATTACAATTTAAAATAACTTTTCTATTTCAATATATTTAAAAATGTAACTTATTCATGTAATATCAAAGCTGAATTTTCAGCATCATTACTCCAGCCTTCAGTGTCACATGATCCTTCAGAAATCATTCTAATATGCTGATCTGCTGCTCAAGAAACATTTTTATTATCAATGTTGAAAACTGCTGTGCTGCTTAATATTTCTGAAAACTATGATACATGGTTTTTCAGGATTTTTGATTAATAGAAAGTTCAAAATAAGAATAAAACTAGCATAATTTTGTATTTTTTTTCCCCAATTACCCTTTTAACTTATTACTCTGACATAGTATATTGTACCAGTGTACTGGAACGACTGCTTAATTCCAAGGTACTGTACTTCAAAGAATTCCATGCTACGTGCACAAAAACCATTGTATTTTTTTGCAAGTATTTTTAATGCATGTGTGGAGCAGGGCTGAAAGCACATGACCTTCTGTTTTTGAACACTCACAAATCATATTCCAGCTTTGACCCATTTCACACTCTGATTTTGCCCTCAGTCCCAAGACTTACATAAACCCTTTTATACACACTTGTTCTTTTTCCTTAACTGCAGAGTTTCCCCAGTGTGTGCTGTGTGTATGTGTGGTATTAGTGCATATGCATCAAAAAGACTGTACAATGGCGGAGTGTTTGCGTGCTTACTGCAGCTCTCCAACCCCTCATTCACACATTCTCCCCTCTGTACAGCACGCTTGCATATTCATCCATCCTTCTCTTCATATATTCTTCTCTTTAAACCACTTCTTATCCTACCGAGGCCAGTTCACCCCCTCAACTCCTCTCCATCTCTCTCCTCCTCACACTTTCCCACTGTCAATTCAGAGCAGGGGGGAACGGCATTTATCTTTCACACCATACACACCTACTCCTCCAGCACACAAAGAAGAAACTCCTAGTAAAATTTAATTTCAGCCTCTGAGAGCATCGGCATGAGTATGGAGGGGCATATTGCTCTATGTATGCATTTATATATTTATATATATGTGTCCATTACGTTTTGGCTCAGGTGATTATCTGAGGCAACCAGACTGAGCAAGCAGAAGACAGGTTCTGTTTAATTAACTCTTATAATTAAAGAAAACAAGAGTGACTGAGTGAGTGAGAAAGTAAGCAGACGTATACTGAATGTGTCAGAGGCACTGAATGCTGTGATGTCCACCGAGCCTCCTGTGTGAATCACTCTTTGTTTAGTCATGTTTACTTTAGTTTCACACCCTCTGGGGTCCTTCTATGAGATTTGAGAGAAATAACTGGATATATAGCTTTTTGCTATCAAGGACGGCTGGATTGTAATTACTTTTAAACCTTGATAGTGAGCACAGGACAGTGATGGAGCAGGAGTGAGAACACAGGAAAGAGGTACATCTAAATTGGATCTTCACTCTAGGGCTGTCATTACAGTGTTAGGACAACAAGCAAAACAAAACAGTAATTACAAACCAACAATTCCTGAAATCAAATATAGCTGCAATACTATGTAATGTAGTTATCAGTTGCAAATCTCATAGTGGGGTCAACAGGCCTCGAAACTAAAGTAAACAGAATTAAACAAAGCTCTATCAAAACTAAACACTGGAAGTGTGATGGTTTAAAGTTGCTGAGCACCACAGAATGTAAAAAACAAAGAGGGTTAGTCTGAGACTTAATACACAGAAGTTATGTTCTAAAACCTAGTGAGCTGCCTAACAAGACGGCACTTGAGGCACATTCCCAAAAATCTATACTGCCTTATAATATACCTCATTTTGGCAAGTTATCAGGTAGTATCAGATGTATCCTCCACAGAAAAAGCAATCCTAGAATCCTAGAGCTCTGTGATTTGAGGGAAATATATTTTATTTTCCACTATAAAACCAATAGAATTGTTTCATTTATAGTGTTGGGTAAAACATAGATTTTCCAATTAATCGCAGTCTTTATTTCAACTACCCAGATATCAATTCTTAAAATACCATGATCAATCTTTTACTCAATTCCTATTTTCAGTGGGTGCATGAGAATGTAGCCTGCATGGAGGAATAACTCTGTCAACTTCGTAGTTTGGGCCCTGTTGTTAATATTTAACATAAATATTTTTGTAATATACCCAGAAAGTTCCCCTTATCAGTGCTTTCTACACGATTTTTTCAGCATACTATTTCCCCCACTGCTAAATTACTGCTGCTGCTGCTGCTGAAAAAGAAATTGAGTTGTGAATGTGAGTTTGAAATCTATACTAAATGTAATGCAATAAAAGAACTATGTACCATCAAATAATGGAAAGAAACTTGAAAGAACAAACTGTATGCAAAAACAAATTTACAATGTAGTCCCAGTTAACCCACATGCACAAAGCTCTGCATGCCGTTAAAGCCGAGATTAATATAAAGGTGATGGTTGAAGCGGCCTAGCTTGAAAGAGATGCAGGCTGAATGTAAAAGAGAGAAGACCAGATTGAAACAAGCTTGTGAGAACACAAACACAAAAAAGGACCATCTAAGAGGAAGTCAAACAAGAGGAACTGTATATCTGCACAGCTGTCAGAGACTGAAAGGGAGCATAATTGATGCCACTCTTTGCTTATATCTTAGGAAAATAAGGATACAAACACATAAATTGGCACAAATCTTCCAATAAAGAAGGGAAAAAATGAAAAGGTTATATGCAGGTATGGAACATCTGATAAGTGTCAATATTAAAATTTCAAGACCTGTGCTCAAGAGCTCTTTTTATTTTGAGATATGTCTTCGAATGTCTGTCAACAGTATGGGAGCTCCTGAAGAAATCACAATAATATTCTCTATAAATTTACCTCAGTGTACTTACTGTTCACTAAACTTAAAAAAAACCAACAACTATTAAATAAAACTATTAATCTTTTCATTCATTGAAATAAAACAGAAATCAAATCTAAGTATTAGATGAAAAACTTTGTATTTTTTTTTTTTTAAACCTTTTGCTATATTCCAAGCTCAATTCAA